TCTTTTTTAAATAAAGATTTTTATTTATTTATTTGGCAGAGAGATATCACAAGTAGGCAGAGAGGCAGGCAGAGAGAGAGGAAAGGAAGCAGGCTCCCTGCTGAGCAGAGAACCAGATGCGGGGCTCGGTCCCAGGACCCCGGGATCATGACCCAAGCCGAAGGCAGAGGCTTAATCCACTGAGCCACCCAGGCACCCCCAGCTGCTTCCAAGTTTTTAAAGCAGTCTTCCAATTCTAGGGCCTAGAATGGTGCCTAGTACATTCTGACATTCTATGAATACCTGTTAAGTGAATGAATCTGACCACTTATTCCTTCAAAAACTAAGTATCCAGTCACTGCGCCGGGCACTTCAGGAAAAAAGAATGAATAAAGCCTGATTTCTGACCCTCAAAAGCAGTCTAATGGAGAAAGACACTTAAGTAAATAATTGTAACACTACATATAAAAGCTATAATAGAGACATTTTCAGCTTTCCTGGCAGTATCATAACCAATGAGGTTTATCCCAGGTGAAGATTACTGCTAATGCTAACATTACTGCTAAGGGGGCTAACAAATAAAGACATATTTGACAACTGCTTTATAGTTCTGAATTTGAACTATTCAACTGACCTTCATCACTACTCTAACCAGTTTTCAAAAACAATTAAATATTGTTTTGATGACATTTTATTTGCAATGTTTTACTATAACCTGTATGGGTGCAACATCCACTAGCAGCAACTCCTGTCTATCACAAAGAAGAGAGACTATATCGTATCGATCCTCTCCTAGGGCATGAAATGCTTACTTTATGTATCAGTAACTACATGCTCAAGTCATAGCTGCAGTTTACCAATCTTATTACGTGATATAAATAGTAGTATACATAATTATGAATTTTAATATATACCCAATTCATCATATTCTCATGCTATCTCAAGCTAACAGTAAGATCAATAAACATAGACAATAAGGAAGAGACAAAGAATACTGAAGGGAATAATGCTATCCTGACAGAAGAAATACCATTAATGTGGTTGATTAAAGATAACTGTAAATTCTTCGTTACTGTTCCCATTGAGAAATGAAATCTAAATGCCTTTTCCTTGTTGACTATAGTTAATAATACTATATTGCATATTTGAAAATTGCTAAGAGATTAGATCTTAAGTTCTCATTACAGGAAAAAAAAACTGTAACTGAGTGGTGATGATTATTAAGTAGACATATTAGAGTGATCAACTCACAATATATACACAAATATCAAATCATTATGCTGTACACTGGAAGCTAACATGTTATATGCCTATTATATCCCCAAAATAAATAAATAAATGACTTTCCCTTGAATTTGGGCTGGCCTTAGTGACCTGCCTGACCAAGAGAATGCAGAGGTCACCTCCAAGGCTAGGTCCTAAGAAGCTTGAGTTTTCCACATACAGTTCTTGGGAGCAGTCACACTCTTGTGAACCCTGAGCCACCACAGATCAATATCCTAGAGCTCCTATGTTGCACAAAACACATGATGAAACCCCTCAGAGACGCCTTGTGACTTTATGAAGAGCCCATCCATTCCAGCCCCCAACCATTAATCCCAGCTAAGGCCCCGTGACACACCAAGTCCAGCCCACAGAGCCCTGACCAAACTGCAGATGTATGAGCAAAATATGAAACTGCTGATTTAAGTCACTAAGTTTTGACGCAGGTTGTAAGGTACCAACAGATAACCAGAATTACACAATGCTTCCAAATCCTTGACTCAAAGGAAAATAAAAGAAAATCACTCAGACTCTCTCTGAGGTGGGAGTGGAGAGACTGAACCTGCTCATAACAGATGGTAGCATTTCAAGTAAATCAGTCATCCAATTATTACAAATCAACAGACCTGAATTAAAGACCTGAAGTTCATGCTGCCTTTGAAGACTTGGGCATGGGTGAGAAGGAAGGGAACACTATAAACCTGAATACAAGGGAGGAAGGGAAAATATTTGTACGAGTTACCCATACCTATTTTGATAGTGAGCTTCTGGTTCTATATTAAGTGCTTAGATTTTGCTGCAAGGTGAAACCAGGCTAAAGGAGAGAACCCAGTGAGATCTATTATTGGTTAAAGGTTACTCTTATCCTTTCTGAGGGATAATGGAAGCTGATGAAAGCTATGGGCCTTTTCCCGCTAAAAATAAATAAATAATTAATTAAAAAAATTTTTTAAATGTGTGTACAAATACAAAACACCATACAATTTCAATGCATTTTTGGCCCTTAGGGTCCACGAAATTTGGGTTTAGAACATGTTTTAGAGGATTATTCAGTAATGGTTCACAAATCCACTATATAACGCTGGCATTGTTAGAATTATAAGTATTTCACTCAAACTTACAAAATAATTTTTCACTCATCAATGGAGGATCCAGCAATTCAAGTCTTGTTTGATTTTAATGTCCACCTCTTTTTTTTATCTAATTGTTACTCAACTGCAACAGCTTAGCCCAGGCAACAAACTTCTGAGAGGTGCCTCAGAAAATGTATTCTTCTAAAAAGATCTTGGTTTAAGTTAGTATTACCTTTTGGGGACAGTGGTTCAGTCTCATGCTGCTGATATTGCACAGTAATAACTTGAGATTCTTACTCCTGCTCATAAGCCAGTTAAGGGTAAGAGTTCAGCTTCATATCACTTTAAATCCTCAGCACCCAGCACTGATATTGTATTGGGTCTTGATTAATAATGATGCTGGTCAAACAGATTGGAGCAACAGTTCTCAAACTTTTTGGTCTCATGACTCTTGTATACTCTTAGAAATTATTTAGAACCCCATAAAGCGTTTGTTAGGTTGGTGATATTTATTGAGGTTTACAGTATCGGACATCGAAACTGAGAAATGTTTTTAAGTATTCATTAATTCATTCAAAAATAACAATAAACCCACTATATATCAGCAGATAAGATTTTTTATTGAAAATATTTTTCAAGGGGCGCCTGGGTGGCTCAGTGGGTTAAAGCCTCTGCCTTCGGCTCAGGTCATGATCCCAGGGTCCTGGGATCCAGCCCCACATCGGGCTCTCTGCTCAGCGGGGAGCCTGCTTCCCTCCTTTCCTTCTGCCTGCCTCTCTGCCTACTTGTGGTCTCTGTCAAATAAATAAACAAAATCTTTAAAAATATTTTTTTTTCCAAAACTAAACTAGCGAGAACAACACTACTTTGAATTTTTTGCAAATCTTTTATGTCTGGCTTATAATAGAAAGCAGCCGGATTTTCACATCCGCTTCTACATTTCAATCTGTTGTGATATCACAGGTCATGTTAGTGTTTAGAAAACACCAGTGAACATTCATGAAAGGATGACAATGAAAAAGACAAATAATTACTTGTATTATCATGAAAATAGTTTTGACCTCAAGGACCTTCTAAAAAAGAACATCTGTCCACCTGTTAGTGTACCAAGTCCGTTATTTCTTCCTTCGTGCCTCTCTTAATGACTGGAATTCAAACTGAAGCAATAAATTCTACAATTTAATTTATAATTCTGTACATTGCTCTTTCATCAGACTATGGTAAATTTCAACATGCTTCTTAACATCAAAATAAAAGGCTGATGAAACTAAGCATTTACCTGTTCTTTCCTCCTTGGTAACCAAGTAAACAACTACCCAGGGAGATACTTATAATGCCACTTATAATTCCCATACCAATTTGGGAATTAATCTAGACTGTTAGTTAAGAAGATCCATCCAAAACTAATCTAGATTATGATTAAGCTTTAAAAATATCAATGTACATTTACCCAATAGTACAAATCCACAAGAGCCTCACTTGCTCTCGGCCAGTGGTACAAAACTGAACCGGGTTGAAAGCCAGGGGAATAACTGTGTTCAATTCAAAAGTTCAAGTACATTAGGAAGTTGAATGGAAAATTTTCTAGATAACTATCACGAAACAAGCAAAAGATCCAAAAAGACTTAAAAGTCAAAGTCATCTGAGCAAACAAAACAAAGCCCAGACAAAAACCTTATGAATTAAAAACTAGCTTAAACGTGGTTAACTGAAGAAGGATGAGGAAGAAAAACTTACCAAGCAAAAGTGAATACTCCTGATCGAGTGCAAATCCCAAGTAAATTCTTGATATGAACACTGAGATGGAAGACTCTGCCATTATAGACAGCTTTCTGTGAATATTATGCAACTGCTCTACATACACGAAGTTTTCCTATCCTTTCCCTCAAAAAGCATCAGTCAGCTTGAGGTTAATGCTCAGATGAAATGTTTTCTGTTGCTCTAGCAGTTTTGCTCTACTTTGTTTCTCGGTTATTCTGAGTGCTCTCTTACAACTGGAGAGTTGCTGAACCAATCCCGAGTAAGAAATGTTAAAGTACAAGAAAAGAGGCGACAGCTCTGCACCACCACACGGAAAGACTCAGCGGAGCAGCGGCGGCCCTGCCCTAGCTGCGATCCGAATAGAAAGCAGAGCTTTTTAGGTTCCCAGCAACACCAGACGTCTCCCGCCCCCATGTCCCCACTCCTGGACTATCTAAACACCGAAAACCAAAAAGTGGAGTCCACCCGCTTTTCAGGGCCAGAGAGTCTCCGGGCTGGGATCCTCTCCCGTTACATAACTGGGGCCTAGCGCCCTGCTTCTGCAGTCAGTCCCCAGGACAGAGAGACGGACGTGTTCCCCAGGGACCCTCTCAGGGAGGTGGAAGCTGGGCTCTGCACCTGGTCGACCCCGGAAAAAGAAGGGGGAACGACTCGAGCGAGGCCGCAATCAGAGACGCTGGGGTACAGGGGGTGATGAACAGGCCCGGAGAGGAGCAGGGCGGCTCCTGGAGGCCCGCCGCAGGCCCCGGCGTCTCCGACACTAGTCCACTCCCCTCCCTCTCCGGCCGAGTCCCCACCGGCCGCCCCCTCCCCCATTCTGCGCTCCCCTCCCCCGCGTCTCCATCCCCGGCCCCAGCCGAGAGGCAGGCGGACCAGCCGAGTAAGGCCTCGGCCACGGCCAAAGGACCGCTCCCAACCCAGTACCTGGTCAGACATGGTGACGGTGGCTTCACCCAGGGTCTCCGCACAGCAGCGGCCTCGGGTAGGCAGAACCTCGCTCCGGGGTTTACAAATCCGTCTCTCTTCCCCACAGCACAACACCGCGGCTGGAGGGACTTCCGCCACGCCCTGCGTCACTTCCGCTACGCGTTGGGAGGAGGAATAGGGAAAAGAGGAAAGGAGAGGCGGGAAAACGGGTGGGGGAGCTGCCCCGGGGCGAGAGGGCCCAAGAGCTGCTTTATTGGTGGTCGCTCGCGTGAATGAACAACAGTCTTTTCTGCTCCACTGAGGACTAGACCTTTCGCCTCCACCCGGAGCCTGCCCTCCGGTGGAAAAGTTCCGGGTCTTAGTGTTTGGAAACATACTAACAGCCACCCTCCTGCCCCTCTAACACCTAGAACGTTTTCGAAAGCTGAGCCAAGAGGTTTCTATTGTCTCTTCCTGGCCTTGCTCGTAAACTTCTCCAAGGACATTAGACTGAATACCAGTGCTTTTTACCATACAGCTAATTTTTGATTAACCGGCCACCCTGCCTATCTCATAACCTCGATTAAAAAAAAAAAAAAAGATCCCATTGGACGCGATCTTGATGGCTACTGATGAAAGAGATTCTTAGGAAAGATTTAAACCAGTGAGGAGGAAGAAGTAATTCTGACCTTGCTTTAAGTTAAAGAATGATCCTTGAATGACTTCTTTAAAATACAATGGCCCTGCTGGCAGAAGGGTAGGAGATAAGGATTTAGACAAATGAAATAGAATTGAGATTCTGGAAATAATAAGCCCTCACACACTGATTTTTGACAAGAATTTTTGACAAGAATATCAAGATAATTCAGTGGTGAAACTCACGAAAAATTAACTTTAATGGATCAAAGGCCTAAATGTAAGAGCCAAAACTACAAAACTCTTAGGAGATGGGGCACCTGGGTGACTCAGTTAAGCAAGGGACTCGATTTTGCTCAGGTTACGTTCTCAGGATTGTGAGATCAAACCCCATCTTGGGCTCTATGCTCAGCACAGTCTGCTTGAGATTCTCTCTCTCTCCCTCTTCTGCTCCCTCTGCCCTTCCCACCTGCACACTCTCTCTCTCTAAATAAGTTAATTAAACTTAAAAAAAAAAAAAAAAAAACCTCAGGAGAAAACATAGGCATAAGTCTTTTTGGCCTTTGATTAGGCAATGGATTCTTAGATATGACACCAAAAACACAAGCAACCAAAGAAAAATAAATAAATTAAACTTCATCGAAATTAAAAACTTCTGTCTTTTGCGTTGAAAAAAATATATAAAGAATGAAGAAAATATTTGCAAGTAATATATCTGCTAAGGATCTAATAGAATACACAAAGAACTATCACAATGCAGTCATAAAAAGATAAATAATACAATTTTTAAATGGACAAAAGATTTAAATAGACATTGCTCCTAAGAAAATGTGCAAATGGACAAATGGATAAGAAAAATGTTCACCACCATTAGCCATCAGAGAAATGCATATTAAAACTACAATGAGGGGTACCTGTGTGGCTCAGTCGAGTGAGCTTCCAACTCTTGATTTCGGCTCAAGTGGTGTTCACCAGGTCATGGGATGAAGCCCCATGTCCAGCTCCCCACTTAGCAGACAGTCTGCTTCTTTCCCTCCTCCCCTTCCCCCAGCTGAACTGTGCACATGGATGCTGTTTCTCTCGCCATCTCTCTCTCTGAAGTGAATAAATTAAAGCACACACTACACACAATGAGATATCATTTCATGCCCACTAAAATGTCTATAACCAAAAAGACAGATGACAATAATTGTTGACAAAGATACGAAGAAATTGGAACTCGTATACTGCTAAGCGGAAACATGAGTTGCTTTGGACATTTCCATGCTACCCAGGGAGGAGTCCCTACAGTGTTATTTTGCATTCCCATCATAACTTAAACGGAAATTTTCACAATGTCCAGAGACATCGATGTCCTACAAATGAAGGAGGAGGATGTCCTCAAATTCTTTACAGCAGAAACCCACTTTGGTGGCACCAACCTTGACTTCCAAATGCAACAGAACATCTACAAAAGGAAAAATGATGGTATCTACATATACATCTGAAGAGAACCAGGGAGGAGCTTCTGCTGGCAGCTCTTGCCATTGTTGCCATTGAAAAGTCAGCTGATGCCGGGGTCATCCATGAATACTGGCCAGTGTGCTGTGCTTAAGTTTGCTGCTGCTAATGGAACCACTCCCATAGCTGGAAGCTTCACTAACCAGATCCAGGCAGCCTTCTGGAAGCCAGGACTTCTAGTGGCTACTGATCCCAGGGCTGATCACCGGCCTCTCTCAGAGGCATCTAATGTCAACCTGCCTACCACCACTCTATGTCACACGGACTCTCTTTATTCCAGATCACTGCGCTATACGGACATTGCCATCCCTTGCAACAAGGGAGCTTACTCGGTGCGTCTGATGTAGATACTGGCCTGGGAAGTTCTGCGCATGCGTGGCACCCTTTCCCATGAACACCCGTGGGAGTCTGTGCCTGGTCTCTACTTCTACAGAGATCCTGAAGAGGTTGAAAAGGATAAGCGGGCCGCTGCTGAAATGACAATGACCAAGGAGGAATTTCAGGGTAAACGGACTGCTCCACTCCTAGATTCACTGCTACTCCGCCTGAGGCCGCAGACTGGTCTGAAAGCGAGCAGGGGCCCTCCGTGCCCAATCAGCGGTTCCCTCCCGAGCACCGGAGCCCTCAGCCGGCCACTGAAGACTGGTCCGCAGCTCCCACTGCTCTGGCCACTGAATGGGTAGGAACAACCCCTGAGTGGTCTTTTTTTTTTTTTTTCCTTTAAGATTTTATTTATTTATTTGACAGAGATCACAAGCAGGCAGAGAGGCGGGGAAGCAGGCTCCCTGCTGAGCAGAGAGCCTGATGCAGGGCTCCATGCAGGGCTCGATCCCAGGACCCTGAGACCATGACCTGAGCCAAAGGCAGAGGCTTAACCCACTGAGCCATCCAGGCGCCCCACCACCGAGTGGTCTTAAGCTGCTCTTTCACAAAGGCAAACAAAAGGGATAAAAGGTTAACAGAAAATAAACCGATTCTAAAAGTTAAAAATAAAAGGCTTTGGAAAATATTCTGGCAGTTCCTCACATTGTTAAAGTAACCATGACCCAGCAATTCTGATAGATATATATCCAAGATAATGGATAAGATACGTCCGTACAAAAACATGTACACAAATGTTCACAGCAGCATTATTCATGATAGCAAAAAAGTGGAAATAATCCAAATGCCAACTAACTTATGGATAAACAAAAGCAGAATACACATAAAATGTAATATTATTAGGCCATAACAATGAACTATTCATACAATGTGGAAGACCCTTGAAAATATTATGCTAAGTGAAGGGAAACAGCCACAAAGTATGGTTCTATTTATATGGTATGTCCAAAATAAGCAAATCTACAGAAACAGGAAGTAGATTACAGGCGCACCTCAGAAATATTGCAGGTTTTATTCCAGATCACTGCAATAAAGTGACTATCACAATAAAGCTAATCAAATAAATTCTTTAGTTTTCCAGTGCATGTAAAAATTGTTTACACTACACTAGTAGTCTATTATGGGTGCAGTCGTATTGTATCTTAAAAATAATGTACATATCTTAATTTTAAAATATTTTATTACAGGGTGCCTGGGTGGCTCCAGTTGTTTAAGCACCTGCCTTTGGCTCAGGTCATGATCCCAGAGTCCTGGGACTGAGTCCCCCATCGGGCTCCCTGCCCAGTGAGGAGTCTGCTTTTCCCTCTGCCTGCTGCCCTGCCTGCTAGTGTTCTCTCTCACTTTCTCTGACAAATAAATAAAATCTAAAAAAATAAAAATTTAAGGGGCTCCTTGGTGGTTCAGTCACTAAATGTCTGCCTTCAGCTCAGGTCATGATCCCAGGGTCCTGAGATCCAGCCCGGCATCAGGCTCCCTACTCAGTGGGAAGCCTGCTTCTCCCTCTCCCACTTCCCCTGCTTGTGCTCCCTCTCTCACTGTCTCTCTCTCTGTGTCAAATAAATAAATAAAATCTTTAAAAAAAAATAAATAAGTTTTAAAATAAATAAATAAGAAACATTGATTCACTTATGTAGACCTCCTATATGTTGACACATTTCATTATAAAATATTTAATAATCATATTATCTTCACAGACTCATCACAAAACATCTTCAATAATATTCATTATTTTTAGACTCATCAGAAAAAAACTTTTATTCATCACTGTCAAATTCACAATGATGAATATGAGTTTTCCGAAATGGTAATTTTTGCATAAAACCTCAGATTTTGTCATTTACAACAAATACTGGCAATTGTTTTCTTTGTTAGACTTATTTGTTCATTTTTTTTGAGAAAATATCTGCTACATGTCTAATGATTATTGGCCTGCCATTTGTTCTATCACTTAAAAACAGTGCTCCTTTTCTTTAAAGTGGCTAAATCAGCTTGTAACTCAATCTTTTATGTACTTTTCCTGGAGATAGCCATCTTATGGAGAATAAATAGCTGAATTTCTTTATATAGAATATTTTTAAAATGTTATTCAAGCACTGACATTTAATAAAATTAGTGTTTTTGTATCCTACTGCTGCTATAACAAATTTCCACAAACTTCATGGCTTAAAAGAACACAGTTTATCTTTTTACAGTTCTGGAAGTCAGAAGTCAAGGTGTTGCAGTGCTATATTCCTTCTGGAGGCTTGAGGGGAGAATTCCTTTTATTACCTTTTTTAGCTTCTGGAGGCCACCTGCGTTTTTTGGTTTGTGGCCCCTTCCTTCATCTCCAGGGCCTGATGGATATTAGCAACTACCTTCTTACCCCTACCCCCTTCCCTCTCCCTCTCCTCCTCACCTTCTGCTGTGGCCACATCTGCTTCTCTGACTCTGACCCTTCTGTCTCCCTTCTCTAAAAACCCTTGTGATGACACTGAACTATCTAGGTTATTCAGGATAACCACCTTATCTCAAGATCCTTAATCACACCTGCAAAATCTTATTTACCTATATGTAAGGTAACATATTCACATATTTCAGGGAGTAAGAAGTGGACATCTTGGGACACCTGGATGGCTCAGTCGGTTAAGCATCTGCCTTCAGCTCAGGTCATGATTCCAGGGTCCTGGGATGGAGTCCCATATCGGGCTCCTTGCTCAGCGTGGAGACTGCTTCTCCCTCTGCCTGCTGCTCCCTCTCTTGTGCTCTGTC